TAAGATTTATCTCTATTTTTTTAAAAGGACTTCCACTTGCTTGTGCCAATTTTTACCCATCATGTACTTAGGATTTCTACCATTTGCTGCATGTTTGTCTTATGGAGAACCGAAGAAAAGTGATGCAAGAATGACCTGGTCATTTATTTATCAACAACAGTATTTTCTTTTGCTAATTTGTCTGCTCTAACAGGAAACCAGCTGGAGGAGGTGATGCTGACTCTTTTAGAGACATTAGCAGCGATGGAAGCAGTGACTCTGAAATGGAAAATGAATCTAAATATTCAGGGAATCGGTCTAAACACTGTATTTCACGCCATTACATGATTGGGATGAACAAACTCTCCTCAGATGGTAAACATAGAAACTTGCGAAATGAGTTTTCTAGTGATGACAGTAGTGATTGTGGAGATTCTCAAGGCGCGCTCATCTTTGAATACCTTGAGAATGACCGTCCATATTTTCGCGAACCTTTGGTTGACAAGGTAATATCTTTCTTGATGTATCATATTCATCACTAACTAATATTTTTGCTTTAACATAATTATGTTTGGTTTAGATTGTGGATCTTGCTAAACAATTTCCTGTTTTGAGGACAATTAGAAGTTGTGATCTTCTTCCAGAAAGTTGGTTTTCTGTTGCATGGTGAGGTTTCACAAGTTTTGAATACATGTATTATCTTTATGATACTTGGAATGAAGTTACAGATCTTTAATCCTTATGCAGGTACCCAATTTATAGGATACCAGTTGGGCCAACTCTGACTGATCTTGATGCTTGCTTTCTCACGTTTCATTTTCTTTCTACTCCTATGAAAGGTATTTTGCCATTTTTTTCATCATTCGTTATAAACTTATGCTATTCCTAAAGTAATGAATTTGGACATTAGAAAAAGTCATAAAATGTTTATGTAATTTGAAACTTATTTGCGCTACATACATGATTATTGATAGGACTCATGTCATATCTAGAGCATTTCGATCTGCTCGAACTCTCAAATAAAGAACAAAAAGAGAAAAAGTATAGAAAGTGAACATTATTCATTAATTTTCCTCATCTTACTCTCCAATTGGGGTTATTTATAGGCTTACTAGATATTAGACTAATTTCTCTTACTAATTAATTCTCTATTAACTACTAAACAAATTATAATTTGAGTTAACATCATTACCCCTTTCACAAGGACCTTGCTCTCAATGTCGGACTCCTCAAGTTGTTCTACTGGAGGTGACTATCCATTCAGCTACAATATCTCATACGGGTCCTTCTTGTGAGCTGGATTAACAAAGAAGTAGCAAAAGAAAATATTGACCACTAGGCACTAAAATACGGGTCCTTCATAGGATGCGGCTATGCGCTCATTATTTCAATTATCAGAGGGCAGAAAAGCTCGCTCTTTTGCTGGATGTCTTTGATCGTCCCCATTCTAGAAACCATTATGCCAACTAAAACCAATTACAGAGCTTTTTAGGCTTCATTTGGGGCAGCTTCTTTACTGTGTTCTAAAGCAACATTTTAGTAAAAAATTTCTTGAACTTAGAAAATTTTGTCCTAAAAAGCTACTTTAAAAAGCAGTAAGAAAATCGTCCCAAACGAAACCTTAGTTTGCGTTCCAACCGTTCTATGAAATTCCATTTTAGTTTTCTTTTTTCTTTTGATTGAATCTCTTGTTGGTTGAAATGTTTGAGTAAGTTGAATATGCTATAATTTTGTTGATTAATCTTCTATCATCTAAATGCAGGCACTGCTCGTAGACCTATCATAACTAAACAAAAGATCTCTCTTCCAGTATTTGGCCTTGCATCCCTCAAGTGCCATAGCTCCTTATGGACTTCTAATGGTGAATCCGATGGGAAGCTTGCCCATACCTTATTCCAAGCTGCAGATAAGTGGTTGCGACTCCTTAAAACAAACCTGCCAGATTACAGTTTCTTTGTATCTCGGTACTGATTACAAAGCCTTTTTGAGCTTCTTTTCCATCTCCTTTGATGGAGCCTTCTGGTTATACATGACCTGCTGCAAGGGCTCTGCACATTCCTCATAAACCCGTTTTTTTTTTATTTGCTAAGGTGCTGTCATTTATGAATATCAAAAAAAAAAAAAAGTTAAAAAATGATAAAAGCTAAAAAAAAAGAGGAAATGTTGATTCTCGCATTATTCAGGTGGAGAATCTTGAAAATAATTGTACCGTCGGTGCAAATTAAGAGGAGGATTGCACGGCAGTGATACTGCTGGTGAGCAAAACCATGGCTAATTCGTTCTGTTCTTACTTATAACCTTTTCACCATATAAATGGGCATTTTTTTTTCCAATGTCCTTCCTAGCTTGTTACGTTGGGTTACTTTGATATGCTTTTATTTTATTTTATTTTATCTTCCTGGTTTGAGCTTGCAACAGTGGAGTTCTTCTATTGAATTCCTGATGTTATTCATATTTGTTTCAGGCTTTCAGATGATGTACTGTAAATGGAATACTTCAGTTATGAAAATTTGATTTTCTGAATATTCTGATATATCTGCATTTTTTATCTCTATCTCTATCTGTGCTATATGTAATAAACTAAGCCTTTTTTTTTTTTTTTTTTAGCAATGACTATGAATAATGCCTTCTGAAATTTGGCAGTGCTAAGGAAATTAGGAGTTTAGTTGGATGATAATTTGAAGATAGTTCTTGAAATCAATTTGATTTAAGATTTGAGGTTTTGTTTGGGACAACTTTCTTACCAACAACAACAACAACGACATCAAGCCATGTTATTCATATTTGTTTCAGGCTTTCAGATGATGTACTGTAAATGGAATACTTCAGTTAGAAAATTTGATTTCCTGAGTATTCTGATATGTCTGCATTTTTTATCTCTATCTCTATCTGTGCTATATGTAATAAACTAAGCCTTTTTTTTTTTTTTTTAGTTTTAGCAATGACTATGAATAATGCCTTCTGAAATTTGGCAGTGCTAAGGAAATTAGGAGTTTGGTTGGATGATAATTTGAAGATAGTTCTTGAAATCAATTTGATTTAAGATTAAGGTTTTTTTTGGAACAGCTTTCTTACCGCTTCTTAAAATAAATTTTTAGCACAAAAGTTTTAATTTTTATATTAAAAAATTATTTTAAGAAGCAGCAAAAAAGACGTTCCAAATGAAGCCTAAAATAATGCTGTAGTACAATTAAAATATTATAGTAATATTATGTACAATCTCTATTAATTTGGGTATGTTATCAAAATGTAAATTTTTGTTCAGCGGGATTTTCTCTTACCTACCATTATAATAAATTGAAAGATTTTACAATGAGTTCTGTTATGCTTTAATTTGTATAATGTAATGAATTAAGTGTTAGTTATATTGATTGGTTTATAAGAGTTTTGATGTGAAAAAATATTCGTTGGGATATATAAAGGGGCATAATTCTTTGAATTTTGTTTGATGTAAGGAATTTGAAATTCTCTGAAATTATTTATGTTGGGAGTAATAAGAGGCCAAAACCTTAGATTATGTTTGAAAGAATGGGAAATTTGTCTGTTGTGAGTTATAAGAGAACAAAATATGTATGGAGTCGAAGAAATATATTATATTCTATTCTGCGAAATAAAATTCATATAAAATTTCAATTTATTAATTTTTCAGTAGTATTATTTAAATCTTTGAATACTTACTATATTGGGTCCAAGGGGGCAGCGCCCTTTAGCAGGGTTCGACCTGCCCGGTCAGGTAGCGAGGACGAGGGGCAGCGCCCCTGCTGGGGTTTCCGGGGGTAGCGCCCTCGGAACAAATTTTGATTTACTATTTCTCTTTATTTTGATCATTTTCTAACATTTTTAATAAAAGAAATATTTTAAATTTATATAAGTGTTTGTGGCCTGCTGAGCTATTTTTAGCTCATCATTGTTTTGCATTATGTTTTCAGGGTCTAGAAAATGAAAAGAGCTGGTTGAATAACAATTTCAGGAATCTAATATGAGTCTGTAGGTATTTCTCCATTCGATTTTTTGCACAGTCATGACTAGTTTTTATTATTTTATTCTATAGATTTTGTATACAGTCATGCACTATGATTGTATATATGCATTTTGATGATAAATGAAAAATAATTTTTTTGAATGTGTTTATTTTTAGTATTAGATGTTACTAATAGTTTTGTGTGTGTTTTTTTATTTTCAAATAAATTTGATGTTGATTTGGAATTATTTCCAATTTTTTTTTGGAATATTACTGTGTCGGATTGGTGCAATTTCATTGTCTTAAGGAAGTTACAAATTGGTGAAAATGATGAGATCCCATGGAGCCATGGATACATCCACTTCATCGTTAGAGAATGCCTCGATTCATCAGGTGGTTAAATACCCCGTTAAAATTGATGTGACAAAATTTGATGACAAATGGAACTTTAGCATGTGGCAATGTGAGGTGATGGATGTGTCGTATTCTTCAAATTGCTGGAATTTCTGAAGAGCGATGAACATCTCAAGGAGATTTCAGATAGAGATTGTCTCAAGATGAACCAGAGTACTTGTGGCTTCATTAAAAATATTTTGTCTCAAGAGATCAAGTACTGGGTGATGATGGAAACTTCTGTTGTAAAACTATGGAAGTCCTTGGAGAACAAGTATTTGACGAAGAGCGTGAAAAATCGTTTCCATGTGAAACAACGGCTCTGTAATAACTAGCCCGTATTTTGACCCAGGCAAATAAAATATTTTAAAGAGTCATTATAATTTAAATTTAAAAACCGTCTTCACAATAAGATATATATTATTGTGTTTTAATTACATAAAATTTTTTAACAATTTTTGGGCACTGATGAAATCCTTAAGAAATTGACACCTATCGATCGGTACAAGTTGGAATTTTGAGACGGTCAGGTTTCCATTTTACAAATCAAATTCATCAATATTTTTTAAATAAATAATTTTATAAAAAAAAATTGATAATTTTTAAAATCCCAAAAAAATTATATGAATTTTATATTAAAACTTTGATTAAATTATATTATTATATTTTATTATTGTATTATTTTATTATAAAAGAAAATATCTTAAGTCACTAAGAGTCATTAAAAGCTTTTTAAATCCATTTTTCCAATTCTTTTTTCGACAACAGTGATCTGTAGAGGGAAAATGAGAATAAAACATTGAAGAGAAAAAAATAAATAGCTAGATTATGATGTCCTAGAGCGAATTTTTTCGGACAGCCCAGTTGAGAGATTTGTTTGTCTCATTGCAAAGGATATTACATTATTTCTGATTTCAATAATTTTATATTTTTAGTTTTTAATCAAATTTCTATTTCTATTATCAAAAAATGAGGATAATTTTGTATAGGTAAAATTTTTACCGAGTAACTTTTTATGTTTATATTTTGAAAAATTTTCGCATTGTGCTTTTGAAAAGCATCAATTTTTGCCAACTCAGAAATTTATTTTGACATTGTGTTTTAGTTCAATAAAAACTTCAGAATGTTATTATGTACAATCCATAATAAATTAATTAATTTTTGAAAATATGAAATTTTGCTTAGTAGAGTTTTATGTTGTAAACTGTCAAGATATTTTGATACTTTCTGAATTAAGCTTAATTATATTTTATTTGATGCAATGTATTAGGAATGAATGTAGATATGTGATTGAGATTATTTTTATAGTACTATGATAATAATGTATGAGTAAAAAATAAGTAAAGACTGGTTGACTCATTAGTTTGAGACTAATTGACCTGTACAGGATGATGGTCCGACGAATTTTCTTTTAAATATTATGACTTTGTGTTATCCCCCACTGATTCACGTGATATTGATTGTGAGTTATAAGAAAATGATTATTGTGCCGACGGGTAAAGAGTGATGACTCTTTTTAATGAGCTAACGACTTATTAATACTTATGCAATACTGAAAAATATCATGATAGTCAGAATTCTTACTTATTTAATGTGACAACTGAAATAAATAATATTGAGATATTGTTCATATTAATGTACAAATTTATTATTAGCAATATTACTAATTTTTAATAAAAAAAGTATTGTATATATATTGAGCACGTGATATACAAGATATACTAAGTATGTGATTAAAATACTAATTTAATATTAATACTAATATAAAATAATTGGATAGTATGTGTACACTCATATATGATTTTATTATATTAATTTAATTATGATAGACTTAAAAATCGATGATTTAATTTTATTGCTTTATACAAATTTTCTACTGATTATATATATTATTAATATAATAATTACTATAAAGATTTGACACTTGTATCGATTTGATGTCTTCCACATCGTACAATTTTATTATTTTCTCACCGATTCAATGATCATATGAATGCAACTACTATAATTTGACTGTTGATATGTATATTGCTCATTTGCCTTGTGCTGAGTCAATTATAGGATTTGGTTGCTTGGTGAGCTTGTGAGCTCGTTATATGTTATTAAATATTTTCATGTCAGGGAAAATGATCAGGAGTGTGAGATTGACCAAGATTCCTCAGGTTTTTATTTCTTTTTTTGTTTTAGCTATTCTTTTGTACTTAAAATAGGATATATATGTAATGATTGCATAGATTCTAAGTATTATATATAATTTTTTAGAATGAATACATATGTGTATATTGATGTTTTAAATTATAAAATCTTTTTTTATTATTTATTACTAATAGATAAGATTAGATAACTTTGATTGCTATTTATTAAAAGATAAAAGAATAGTTCTTCCAAATTTGATTTTGGGGCATCACAGGCTCTACATGTTTCATATGAGATATGGGATTACAATTGATGAGCATTTGATTGATTTCACAAAGCTATTGGTAGATCTTTTGAATCAAGAGGAAGATGATGGGGATGAAGACAAGGTGCTCCTTATGTTGAATTGGCTCCTATATGAGTACGAAAACGTCATGATGATGCTTATTCATATAAAGGAGCTCTTAAACTATGGTGAGATGACTGCTGCATTGTAGAATCACGAGTTATGGCATTAGGACAAAGAGTGTTCAAAGATGGATTCAGATGATGCTCTCACACTCTAACGAGGAAGAATAAAATGGGCGGCAACGTCAAGTAGGGCACGTATAGTGGGTGTAATCTTGAGAAGAATCAGTATGCTTTCTACTTTGAGACTGGTTCATTAGAAGAAAGATTACACAAAGTTGAAGGAAAAGGGCAAGGGAGTTTCCATTGAGGCTAATCCTAGCATGAAAGAGTGTGATGAAGATTCAAATGCATCACTATCTATTGTTTCTCAGAGTTCGTATTCAAATAGTTCATGCTGGATTCTAGATACTGGTGCTACATATCATATTTATCCCAATGCTTTAGAACATATAGGGAGCTTAATAGTGGCGTTTTGGCCATGGGAAATGATCAAGCCTGTCATATAGCCAGTGTATGTAGTATCTTCATTAGAATGCATGAAAGTATTGTAAGAGAGCTTACTAATATGAGGCATGTTCCATATAAAAAGATTTAAGGGGGAGGGAGCTTGGAGCTCAAACCTATACTTAAACCTAAAGTTGGAGAAAGCACTATTAGACAATCATCACCTTCGACCATTGCCTGACAGCCATCGCTCAACCATTATCCCTCAAATGCAATATCCCAACTATTGTATCTCAATCATTACCAATCAACTACCATAACCTAATTATTGTTGTCAGATAATCATCACAATTTTATTATCACATGATTATAGTTACTCAAATGTTATCACCTAATCTTAATTTTCCAACTATTGTCACTTGATGACCATCGCATGACTATAGTCACTTGAGTATCCTCACCCAACCACTGTCACTTGACTAATATCCCTCAACCACCAATGCCCGCCTAATATCATCTGACTTTTATTACCCGACCACTACCACTTGACTTCGTCATTCACTGTCAACACCAACATTGATGCATTACATCGTCAATAGAGCAATGAACCCTTATTGACACCAAAATTGACAAATGTCATTACCAAATAAGTCTATGTACATCATCAAAACTAATGTTGATTTATGACATCACCCAAAAAAACAATGCACTTCATCGTCATCAACATTGACGCACATTATTGCTAGTAAAGCTGATGCTTATCATCTCAACTCGATGCATACCACTCTTATAATAAAAGATATTTTAAAGATCATATATATGAATACCAATATCAAGTATGAAGAAGACTGTTATTTGTAATATATAATAAATACTAGTGAAATCATTTCAACTAAGTTAATTCTTATGAATGTTTTGTTATATAAATTTTTATATAAAAGTATTATATCTACTATGCAATATTATTGACTTATTTATGTTCAAAACCTTTATATATTGCTAAGATAATAAACTCATAATATTATTTTTATTATTATACATATTATATTATATATATGATATATCATCAAAAAATTATCTTGATTGTGCATGAATCTCAAGACAAAATCAAGTTGGAAATTTTCAAAATTAATTTTGGGATCATCCGAACTCCGATTTTAGCAAACTTATAGTCAAACTGAATGTTTCGAAAATATGGACGGTCATTCTCAAGGTATTCAAAGATGAGCGCGCCTTGAGAATCTCCACAATCACTACTGTCATCACTAGAAAACTCATTTCGCAAGTTTCTATGTTTACCATCTGAGGAGAGTTTGTTCATCCCAATCATGTAATGGCGTGAAATACAGTGTTTAGACCGATTCCCTGAATATTTAGATTCATTTTCCATTTCAGAGTCACTGCTTCCATCGCTGCTAATGTCTCTAAAAGAGTCAGCATCACCTCCTCCAGCTGGTTTCCTGTTAGAGCAGACAAATTAGCAAAAGAAAATACTGTTGTTGATAAATAAATGACCAGGTCATTCTTGCATCACTTTTCTTCGGTTCTCCATAAGACAAACATGCAGCAAATGGTAGAAATCCTAAGTACATGATGGGTAAAAATTGGCACAAGCAAGTGGAAGTCCTTTTAAAAAAATAGAGATAAATCTTAAGAAAACAATCACTTGTGTCGGGCTTGTTTCACTGGCCCTTGACAAAGGACACCACATAAGCACCAAGCAGATCTTAGAATTACAATGCACTCGTAGTGACAAAGAATACCCTTAAAAATCCCAGAGCAAAATCAATAGAATGTGAATAGGATGATAAATCAAGAGCCAGATTACCAATGAAAATAAAAAAGTATAAAACCTAAAAAAAATCAAATTTAATTTATTAAAAACTGTTAAAATTGATCATAAACATAAATACTAGCATTTGATGCAATTGAATGATATCTAAAAATAAAGAATATAAAACAAGAAGGTTGATATAGGATTACAACATTGCTGAACCAAATTAGAAAAGTACAGCTTCTTCAAGTGTTACATTCAATCTGATATAAATACTATAATGAGCTAATTCCAATCAACATTTAGTCATTTCTAGTATAAATTAGTTTCAGTCAAACAGTCGCAGATTCCATAACCTTAAAAACATATAACTGACAATCACTAATTGAATTGAATTTAGCTGCAGATCTTAAAAGAATGCCATCATCAAATTAGTGTTTAGGGTTTATGTGAACTCCCATTTTATTTACATCGGACAGAACAATCAATCTTCCACTTGTCCAATTCAACCCTACGATCAATTTAACATCAAACCTTCCAGTTTGTAAAATCAATTAAACGCGAATATCAAATCCACTTTCATCCTCTTCTAATCTAAGAAGCATATAAAAATAAAAAACGGAAAGCAGTGGATAACTTGATGGATAAAACAATAAAGATTTCAAAATACGAATACACAAATTTTTAAGACCTAAAAGCAGCGAAAAAGCGACATTGTTGAAAAGCAAACATGAACAAATTAAAGAAAAATACCCAAAAAAACTAGCGGCAAAAGAAGAATACCTGGGACCCAGCGACTGAGAACTAGAATCCGCATACAACTGGATGCCGGAAAGGTAGGGTACATAATACTGAACAACAGAATCCTTTCCATTAAGCATAAGAGGGACCCCCAAGCCGTAGGCACTCCATTCCTTGAAGGATTCCCACAAATCCTCCAGCTTAAAGTATGTTCTACACTCCTCATCGCACGTCCTCCAATCCCTCAGTTTCTATAAAACAGATATACTTCATCAATCACCAAAATGACCGAAATGAAAAAGAAAACAGACATTCAGATACCTTTGAGAGATAATGAGCAGGAACGCTCGGCGTCGTCGCTTCCATGAACCTTTCCAAGTTACTGGGATTAGTCGTTTGTCGGCCAAATGCCTCCGTAGCAGACTCACCGGCAGTCTCCTCGGCTTTGCCGTGCGGCTCGCTAATCGTGGAAGACAGAGAAACAGCCGCTGCGCGAGGAACGTAGTGCTGGGTTCGCCGCACCCTCGCTGCACCATTGAACCGATCCACCACGCCCACCCGCCTAGACTGCCAAACTGCCCCTGACATTTTCTGGAACTCAAGCAGTCAACAACTATAAACCCTCAATTCCGACTAACAGCAAACAGAAGGAATAGCCTTGATCTGATCGAACTCAAATCCTATCGCAGTATCCAATGCGATCGGTTAAGAAGGATATTCGAACAATAAATAAGAACAGCAGAGATCGAATTTCTCATAGAGATTGCTGAGAAGGAACGGAACGCAAGAGAAGCAAAGATAGTTTATGTGCGAAGGGTGGAAGCCTGGAAGGGGATATGGTAGTAATTAACTACTTAATGAAGGTATTTGCTGGTCAGGAATTGCGGTGAATTGACCATTCTCAGCGGATATATCTTTGGAATCGGACGGTTGGATGGAAGTATGTACGATGATGTGCCGCGTCCGGATTGACATGCTGGTACGAATGGATCGCAGATTGCCTTGGGAAGCAGGAAACAGTCCCATAAGGCTGTTTTTCTTTTTTAATGGATATATATAATTTTATAACAAATAGCAACGGGCTGGTTTGATCGGGTTCTGGAAGATTTGGCCACCCGCGTGGTCGAACTTTGGACCCTAATATAGATATATTAAAATTATTATAAAATTACTTTTATTTCATTTATCTTTCTTAGAAGTATGGAAAAAAAAATTAATGGTGTCAATATTTGACACGTCCTAAAATTTGACATGAAAAATTTTGAATTTTGATCAACCTATTTATTTGACGGGTTGGGTTTGTATTGACCCGAAAACTTTAAATCAACCTGAAGTTGACCAAGGTCCGGATTTGGATAGCCTCTGACAGTCCACTGCTAAGCCTCCATAGCTCTACAGCTCCGTAAACTGCAGTTGTCGGTCGCAATGTCGCACGAGCGAATGCGCCCAGCAACCCTAGCCCTCTCGCAAGTCGAAGCCTGCGTAGTTCGCCAGGCCATACCTCCTTTGTAGTTCGCCAGGCCATACACCTTTTGTAATTCGCCAGGCCATCCCTCCCTCCGCGCCAGCTCACCAATCGCCAATCCCAATTGCCGCTCGTTGCTCACACCTCACGTTGTCTTGCAATCACGTGTTGCCAGTCACCTCATGTCCTCAAATGTCACCTCTGATTTGTGCATGGATTCTAAACATAACGGGATTGTACGTTTTTCTATTAGCGCCCATTCAAAACATGCACATGAGAGCGGGCAGAGGCGCAAAGCAAAGCAGGTTGGCGGGTTGTGTCAGGTTGAGCCAAATCAAAACTGGGTCGGATTTGGGTTCAAATGTCAACCCCATTGTCTTATTCGAGTTAGTTCAGGTTGACCCAGATGACAACGGGTCATTTTGAGTTGTACTAGAACCCAATCAAAAAAATCCATTTTGACACCACTAAAAAAAATTATCTCTTAGATAAAAATATTTTTCCCCATTGTAACATCTTTAACATCTATCGTATTTTTGTTATAATTAATGTCATTAATATCGTTTTAGATTTCAAATATGAGATAATTCAAAATTATACTAAATTGTTTTCATTATTATTGAAATACTATTTCTAATTTAACCGATATTTTTATTGTGATTTAAATATAT